AATTAAAAAAAAACTTCAAGATGCACAAATTAACTGCAGAAAATAACCACGCAAACTCGGCCTTTTCGGAATGAAAAGGAGCCCAAAAAAAAGCAAAGAATATGCGCATATCTCGTTATGCTTTTGCACAGATGATGGAAAAACGTTGAAAAGAGACTCACAAATCATCATGTTTTGAATTACGAGTAATATTGAATTTTTTATAAATTCTATTTAGAATATATTTGCCAATACAAATGGCACAATTCGTTCAAGATAAATAAAAGTTTAGATAAAGGATTCCTCTTCTCTAGAAATTCTCACAGTGTGTCCGTATCTCGAGACATTGTATCTTGATGCATTTTTTTTTTCAAGTTCAAATATCCCCAAGTCCGACGTCTGTGTACAGATTGTGGTGTCCGTATGTCGGAACACTTATTGTAGTTTGATTAGTCAGGTCTTCAACAATAAAGGTCCAAACGCCAATTATCATTTTTTTTGCAGTTGATTTTTGCATGACTTCAAGAATATGGGTCATAAAATGCCCACTTTCTATTTGTATACTTTTGTCAAATCGTAACTTTTTATGTTCGCCGATTTCCTCTGCATTCGAGACTTGGAAGAAAAAACATTTTCGTTGCAGACGAGAAAGTTGATTCGCTGTGCAGCATTTTCGCGTTATTCGCAGATTTTTCCTCGACTGATGCGTGCAAAAAACCTGTCCGTGACAAAATTTTAATAATCGTAGTCGCTCTTGTGCTGAAGTTCGGTCTAGTTTTTCGAAATGTTGTACCCGAAGTCATTTTCTGAAGAAAAAAGAATGTATGCATAAATATCGTTTTTTTTTATAAATGAAAGTTGATCATGGAACGGAAAAGGAATTATCCGACATGCAGTTTTTTTCAACCTGAGTCAACCTGTTGAAAGATGAGTTGCAACCGATATTGTTTATGCATTTTTTTGAAGGACAACTTGAATTAACATTTTAATTTAACACGTGAGCAATTTGCTGGACTTTCACCTCTTGTTTCATAAAACAACAGAAAGCTTCTGAATGTGTTTTAAAAATATTGACTATATTTTTTTTAATAGGGGTCATTTTTTTCGAGGTGCTAGGACAGTGGTGCCCAACTCAGAAGTAGCCAAGGGCCACATTGAAGTAGAAGAGCATTATGGGGGGCAACAATTGAAAGAAGGAAGAAATATTGTCTAGTAAATTGTATAATTCATGAATTTCTGGGATGGTTTAACTTTAAACTATTCTAATTTAAAAGCAATCAAGTTCTAGTCTATAATCAAGTTCAATAAGTATTTCAAGATTTTCATCATCTGGCTATCTGACTTTTTTCATCTACAGACTTTTCTGCTTCATTTTTACTGATACAGTTCAACTTGTATCTTCATTACTTTATGACTGGATTTTTCTTAATGGAATCATAGAATTCAATCTGCAAAACTTTTCAAAAAGATTCAACCAAAGTCCAAAAGCAGTAAGTAACTGAAAATTATGAGTGAATTTAAATGTTGATAATAATAAT